AGGACCTGGAGTCTGGTCGGGATGAGGATGATGCCGAAGGACATGAACACCAGGACCTGGAGTCTGGTCGGGATGATCATGAAGACCTGGAGTCTGATGCTGAAGAGATCCGAGCCGCTGAGGAAGAGAGTGAAGACGCATCCCAATCTGAACCTGAGGAGCCGACTGACTCCAATGCTAGCACTCTCATTTTAGGGCAAAGCCCGCCTCGCAAAAACAAGACTAAGACTCGTCGGGCAAATTGATTTGTGCCTCGACAATTTGGGGTCGCTGAGTCGTAGCTTGGTGCTATCAGGTAAAGAAATACCAAACGCATGAAGTACCAAATATGTGACAATGAACAATGGACTGTCAATCAACTCGTCTTAGTAGTAGTTGGATTGTTTTGCAGGTACCATGCTACGATGTGCAGTGTGGGTTTGCAATGAAACATTGCAATTATTGTAGTGAGCTCCTTAGCCCTGGAGTGATAGACTCTTACACTCTAGCCTGGAGATCTCAAGGGACGATCTTAGATGCGATGAGAACGTCAAAAAAAGAGCTTTTGTGTTCCTTTAGTTATGAAACTCCATTCATTTTCAGATTCATTCAATTCAATGATTGTCGATTGATTGTCTTCCTGTAAGCGTCTTATGATTCGACACCCGCCACCCAGCGCCACCCAGCGCAACTCTCCAGTCTCTCAACGATCCCCGTGACAGATGAGATCGCCCGCCTGGCCGAGTGCAAGTTCACCAATGACTTGGAGGATGTCGTCCTTGAAGTCCAGCAAAACAAAAGCATGGTTGACACCGACCGCTGCACCATAAGGAAGATGCTTCAGGAGTTCGAAAGTGAGGGCTTTTTGGACGGAACAATCAACGGTCACGAATTGGTTCGACCAAATGCTCATGATGGTAACTCAGCCTACTAGTCAGTCAAATCTGTTTGATTGCAGAAAGTCTTCAACCAATATTCAACCACTGTCCCCCTCACTCATACTCTAAAAGCCATAAGTAAGTAAGGTGATGATGACTGCTACCGCCTGAAGCCGAAGCCTCAACAAAATGCTTACAGTTGGAGCCTACCGTCCTCGACCAACGGCCTGAAGTACAGCTCGATGGCATCTATGTTCGATGAACCTGCACCTTGGCGGCGGACAGCATCAAAAAAGGCACCCGGAAAACCGCAAACCCGCGTCTTGCTTTGACTCTAGGCCCTGAAGGCTGCTCGACCCCTGAAGAGGGTGTGGCGGGTCTATTACATCAAAGAAGCCAAAGCCACTGGATTTGCACATTGGCATGCGACATGCGTTGACCCGATCCATGCCTTTACCAGAAACATGTTACAGGTCAGGTCCTGGTTGAATTGTTGAATTTGTGTTCCGAGGAGATCTCCCCAAGTTCTCTGGCTGCATTGGGTCGACAAACCAACAACCAGTCAGTGAGCCTCTCTCTTTTTTTGGCACTCCACTCAAAGAACAGATTTCGCATGATCTCACGAAATGAGGAAAACCGCTGTACTTTCTGAAGCAGAATCTGAAGCTGCAAGAGAATGAAGTCTTCCGTTTGGTTTGAGGTACCGCAACAAATTGACGATTAGTTCACGACATCAAACACGGTTCAGAATGTTCGGTTTATTGAAAGCCTCATTCAGCGCATATCAGCCGGTGACTGACGGTAGACTTCTCTTGAGCGTCTTGAGCGCCTTACTTCTAAAGGTCCAGGTCGAGAAGACCTGGCAAGTCGTAGGATGTGCCCCTGTGGCACGATCGAATCGACTTCGTGGAAATAAAGGAACATTCTGAGTTCAGTTCATTTTGTATCTCATGCATGCTTCAAGACATTACAGTAAGACTACCGTAAAGTGTGAACTCTGCTTTATGCAAAAGGTTCAAGTTCGACGGTTTCTCAGGGCGCGTCGGTTTTCGTGATTTTTGGTGAATCCCTATAGCACCAGGGCTGCTTTCCATAAAGGACTGACTGACAAATAGCTGATAGCTGTCTCTTGTCAGGCTAATGTCGTCCTAGTAACAATTTAATTATTCAATAGTCTTGCCACTGCAGGACCATGTGCCACGACTTCGACTCCCAGACTCCCACTACTTGATGAAGTTGAAGGCAAAGGGGTTTTCGTTGGTGTGCCGTGCGGTGGTGAGCAGAACAAATTTTGAGACATTTCCTCAACAAAAATGTAAACTTAAAGTTGGGTGCCCTATCCATTACGTGTGAAGGATGAGTATCGACAAAGCATTAAATAAAGGGCTGGTAGGGAATCGGCTAACACGAGCCTGAGTCAGTTTGATGCTCTCCTGTGCGTTGACCATCGCCTTCAATGAGGCATGGAGCTATCTGCCACGGAGCGTGCTCAATGGACCCCAGGCACAAATTGGGAGGGGGTGAGTGTGTCCAGCTAATCTCATCGTCATCAAAATACTTAATAATCGACTCCCTTCTTTCAGGTTTACCTTGAGTCAGGGTCCCTGTAATGCCTTTGCTGGTGGTGTTTGACGTATTTTCCAATCCCGCCACTGCAGGCCTCTTCGTCGTGCACCATAGCACGGGCTACGCGCTCATGTCCCTAATGTGATGCGCGGTCATCTCAGAAACATATTAAATATAGTAGCCTACCTGGTACCTACCTACTGTAGTAGCCTACCTGGTACCTACCTACTGTCGTCATGCGATGTGAGCCTGAGGCCATTCATTCGAATGAGATGCCTTCCCGAAATGTCATCGCGTTTTGTTGAAAAAACAGCGTTGTGTGAATGCGAATGCCGCTGCATGCAAGTGCCTTCTGAACTCATTCGCTTGTTGCGCACAATGATGATTGCTCTTTGGCTGAGGTTGGACCTGGCAACCTGACACCTTACAGAGGAGCGCTTGCGTATGGAACAGTGCTTGGTTTCCGGTCCAGGTATTTGATATTGCGGGGTGATAGAGTGTTGAATTGATATTGCGGTAGAATTGGATCCTATTGCGGGGCTCATATGTTGCGGGTGGTCCTAGATATTGCGGGTGATCATACGCAGGTGGATATTACGGGTGTGAGATATTGCGGGCGGTCGTATATACTGCGGGTGCCGTACTACCGGCGCCGGGATGCCGGGATGCCGGCGCCGGCGCCAGGATGCCGGGATGCCGGCGCCGGCGCCGGCGCAAAGACCTCAATGCAAGCCATCGTTTTTAAGCTCGGCCGCTGGTAGGACCATTGGTCTAGATCTACCTGACAGAGTCGGAGATTGTCTTGCACCTGGAGGCGACTTTGGCGGGGGAGGGCAGTGACGGTGGTGGCGGTGGTTGTGGTGGTGGCGGTTGTGCGGTCACTTGGTGTGTCCGCTGCTGTAATCTTTTCAGCGGGGGATGGGGTGAAGACCAAGGGGAGATTGGTCTTCGAAAGGGATCGCAAAACAGTTCATACACTCAAGACATAACCTAGTCACTTCTAGATTCATACTCAACCAACACTCAAGACATAACCTAGTCACTTCTAGATTCATACCCAACCAACGCTCAAGACATAGTACAGTGACTTCTAGATTCATTCATACTCAACCATCGCTCAATACATAACATAGTGACTTTTAGATTCATTCTCAACCAACGCTCAAGACATAGTATAGTGACTTCTAGATTCATACTCAACCAACGCTCAAGACATAATATCATAGTGACTTCTAGATTCATACTCAACCAACGGATGACCAACCATGTTGATGCCATGGCGGCCAAACAATTGAATGTCGATCTTCCTCAATCTGGTCTGGCTAGACGCCGTGCATTGCAAAAGATCTACGAGGAAACCCGAAGCTCGTTCGTTGCCTATTGAGTATCTGTTTTTAAAACTTAACAACACACACACACACACGTTTTGTCTTCAGTCTTGGCTGCATTTGTTAGGAAAGAACAAGCGGCACCAAAAGAAGAAGCCTTCAAAGTCTTCAAAGTCTGGCGATTCGATTGTTGATGATGGTGAGAGAGCTCTGATAGATGAAAATGCACGTTTACGATTGAAGGTGGAGGAACTTGAACGCCACCTTCGGGCCGCTAAACGAGATTTAGCCAAGACCGAAAATCGTGTTTGGGAGCTTGAAACAAGCTTACGCACATTTAAGCTGCTGTCCATACGCAAGCCATGAAACCGGGGGATGTGTGTTGAAAAGGGCGTTGAGGTCTTCTTTGGAACGTTCAGTCGTGATGGCTTTTCATGTTTTCAACTTGAGTTTGAGATTGCTGCACCGGCCAGGCGGCTATGCTGACTGAAACTTTGTGATCTTTTCCGCGTTGAGAAAAAAGAGTGCAGGGTGAAGTGGAACAAAGGCTGTACAACCTGAATCTAAAATGATGATACCTAAATGCAAGGAAATTGACTTATCAATAAATAGTGCATTTGGCTGCCATTGCGAGAAGGTACCAGGTCATGTGAGATTCCGCACCCAACACCAGGTCAGTGAGACACCGGCAGGATCAGTCCCACAAAATCCACAAGGCCGCCCCTGCGACCGCCCGCTCAATGTAACCCGACCAGGATCCGCCAAGACCAAGAGGTGTTTATAGAACCTATAGGACTCCAACCACCATTGAAAGAGTATAGCCTTTACCCAAACCAATGTCAACCTTTCTTTGAAAGCTCGAAAAACCATGAAAAAACGGTGACTTTGAACGGGACGTATACCCTCAAATGCGGTGTTTTTCTTAAGGACCAAACTGAAAGTGCACCATGGTCGGTGGGCCCTGACCGAGCGACAGGGGAGCGCTGGCCCAGTTGGCTTTGGATTCATCGGCAGCACCTGAGATGCGCCGCACCCGGCGATGCGGCCACGGCTGGGCTCGGCGGCTGGGCTTGGCGGCGACGGGCTCGGGGCGACAGAGACCGCGGTTGCGGCGCCTTCGGTGGCCGTTCCGACTGATGGATTCCGATTCAGCAGGACATGATGGGCAAGGGAGTTGCAAGGCCAAGAATTTGGTTCTGGCAGTGGAACAAGCAATTTCCGGGACTAGGACCATATACCATCATATACCTGCACCCTCCAACAGGTCACCACCTGCGACTTTTAAGTCAGCAAAAGCCTCCAGACTGAGACCTGTTGGAGGGTGCTGGTAGGAGTCATATTTGATGTGACGGCCCCAATCACAGACCTCAGGAATCGTCAGGAACTTCGAGAAAGCACCCTGACATGATCTCTTCATCACTGACATGTTGACCGGTCACAGCTGTGCCGGGAAGCTACGGCCAAAACGGCCAAGTTTGGCAAATGTAACACCCGGACCTTGAGTTCGTGACCACCTCATCCTGGGTTCTCAAAGAAGGTCACTTTGAAGGTCCTGGTAGATGGTCAGTCATCATAGTCATCCCTGCTCCAGCAATCAAAAATGACTGCACGTCCAATCGACCGTGGTGATGCTCTGCATTGATCTGCTTTTCAGGTACGACCCGGGGACCCAACGAGAGCTGCGTTTGCTCCGAGGACGTGCAACCCTCCGACCCTCCCTCCACTGGCCCCGAAAAACACCAGCGACTTCGAGTCGAACATGCGAGTCGACCATCCCGCTCGTCCCGCTTGTCCCGCTCATCTGGACGGGGCACGGACGCGGCCCCAGGCCAGGACGTGGGACAAATCATCGAGCCTGGAGGCCCACATGGCCATGCTATGCAAAGGACTGCCTCGTGCGAGCGGCCGCTCGGCCGAGGTTCGGCTGGACACGGCGAGCCTCAGACTATGCATGGGACCGGAAGACCAGTCTGGAACGAAGCAAACATCTTCCAAAATACCTCAAAAACCGCAAACACGTGCAAAAACCAGGTTGAAGGGTCCTACTGTAGGAATGGATGGCCCGACGAATGGGTTCTATAGGCTCATAAAAAGGCAGAAGGTACACTCCCTGATAACAAGACAGATGGTGAAGTGGCACGGCGCGGCATGGCTCTGGAATTCATGATAACCATCAATTTACTCTAGTGTCGTTGACTTACTAGTGTCATTGGATCAATGTTGTGGCCGATATGACGGGCACTCTTTGGTCTTAAGAGAGCATCAAAGCATGGAAAGACCACAGGCACATCGAAGCCTCAAGAACGAGAGCTTTGGCTCCCCGAAAACGTGGTGTGACACGAACTTCGGGACCAGTGACCCATGCATCGTAGCAGGAACATGTTCTGGTTTGTCCATGCATCGTCTCTACTGTTTACTATTTTATATAGGTGATTCAAACCGGCACCCCTCCACAGGTTGCACAAAGGGAGTCGCACATTCCACATCCAAAAATATGTTGTGGCTTGTCCCAAAGCGTGAGCCAGCCACATGTGAAACATTGTGAAACATGTCTGCAGATTCTTCACAAAAGCAAACACCTACTGTCTGTGATAAGGGTACACAAACAATAATTTGGATTGCAAAAAAGCCATCGAAACAAACAAATTCATGGGAGTCATGCACCAAATCTCTGGCGATCAAGGGAACAGTTGGGGATGGTCAAAGGAGAGGTAACGCCCCCTTGAACCCGAGCACCAGCCATAGATCTTGTCCAATCCTCGCTTTTGCTGGTCCAAAAACCAAATCAACCACTGCTGGTCTTGGACCACCAGCCATAGATCTGGACGTTACGGGTCCAAAAACAAACCAAGATACAAGACCAGCCGTCACGCGCTCTGCGCAGGGTGCCGAACGAAGGGAAGGAGTTGGGTGCCGAACGAAGATCGTTGCTCGTGCCCCTCATGGGACGAACCAAACGAACCAAACCAAACCAACTCCATGTGACACCTGGATGCAGTTTTGGGTTTGTTGTGTTCTTTCTCTCCCACCTCACCCGCTCCTTCTCCCTCAAAACTCGCCAACTCGCCGATGTTCATGGCCTTTGGGGGCTGAGAGCAAGTTCAGCAAGAGATGCGGCTCCAGCTCCTCAAGAACAACTGCCCGAAACATGTCATGTGGGATGACTCTATGACCGACCTACTTGGACTACTTGTTGGACTTTCAAGTTAAGCATGTCTAGGCTTCCACCGAAATACTGGCATGACTCACATATATGACCGACTTTCACCTTAAAAACATCAGAGCTGTACATGTATATATATAGGACATACTATAACATGGAGACTAACATGGAGTAGTTGGGATGGACATGGTTTGCAAATGTGATTGCAGGATAAATGCCCTCCCTCCAACACAGGTGAACATGTTCCTGTTTGGAGCATCGTTTATCCTTGTGGGTGCCGTGCAATCCACCCATGTTTGGATAGATGAAACCATCATCGAAGTGGAAGAACACCGCTGTTTTGTATTCATTTTTGGTCATCCTTTGCAGTAGGCCATGCTATCCACTTCAATGATCGTGTCTGGTTCTTCCAGGGAGTGCTCAGGTGGCTCAAATAGACTTGCTGTGTTTGCCTTCGTGTCCTACTAAAAAGACATGCAATGAAAACAACAAAGAGAGATTGGGCCAGTCCATCCATCTTGAAGGCACCTGCTGCTCTGAGCCCAAGAGAAATCCGCTGTGCTTAGCTGGTGTTGCTTCAGCTGGCACCGGAACTCCACTCCACCAAATACAACATGCGACATGTGTCTTTCCCAAATCAACACCAGTGGTCCAAAACCGTCCACAATTGGCCATTGGCCTGGCTGGTGTGATAAAAAAAGAATCATATCCACCCAAGGTTGCTGCATCGTTCGACAGTGAGTGGGTGTTAAGATTGGGAAACAGGTGCACGTCACCAACTTCCATCAGGTTTATATAACCTCACCCAAACACTCTATGTACCAGGACCCCCCCTAAGGGGTGGTTAATGGACACCCCTTAGGGCAAGGGCCTATTATAATAGTATATTAGCAGAATTATATATATCATATATCAGACACCCCAAACAGGTGGCCCTATAGGAATATTTGCCCAATCCATTGCCTGCATGGGGCATGGATTTTTCGGTTAAAGGTGGGCACATAGATGTCGGCAACTAGTCCCATGGAGGTCTTCTTGACCAAGGCTCTCCATCTGGACCCGCCAAGTCCATGGTGATGCGTGCACATGCTGCAGGCTCATCAGTGCAGTCGAAGGGTCCTCTAAGGCTTCGCAGCTGGGGGGAGGCATTGCTTTTTCAATTCAACACATTGACACATGGGTGTGTAGCTCAAATATGGAGACATCTCCCACACAACGACCCCCTGGAAGAGGGAAAGGGTAGACTGCGCCAGGGTGGCTCCCTATCAAAATACACGCCCACATGGCAGTGGGTCTTGAAAAAAGGGAGCACCATGTTTGTTTATTTCCCACCAGACATGGAATAGCTTGCCAGCCAGCCAGGTCAACCTACTCAGAGTGTTGGATCTCGAGTCGTTGGGCATCTTTGAACTTCATCCGAATTGAGAAAAGAAACATAAAACACTCAGAGTTTGGATCCTGTAGACTAGACTCTCGATTCCAATGACTCTTCCCACCCCACTTGGATTGAACAACCTCTTCCTATGGAGTTGTTGAGGGTTTTCAAGAGTCTACATCAATCATGTAGAGCACAAAGAAAACCTCTTCATCCACCAGCCACACCAGTCAGTCCATGTGTTTTCTCGAATCCTTCCCACCGTCCACGCCTTCGAGGCCGACGCCGAGGATCGTGGCACGTGGCAAGAGCTCCACCGAGACTTCACCCTGGCCGTAGCCGGTGAGCCTGGCCGTGGCCGCGCTGGCCGAACCCGAAGCCGGTGCTGGCCGCGAGGTGCGGGGCGCCGGTGTGTGGCTCGTGGTGTGATGAAATGGCGCCACGAATGCATGACACTGCCATGACACTGCCCAAAGATGAAGCACCACGATGTAATTATGTGCCTGTTCACAAATATCATGCTGTTACCGTGTCCAAAAACGGCGTTTTTGGTTGTGACAAGGCGGAACCGACACATTTTGTGCTTTCCGCGAGGAGAGACACCAAAAGGACATGGCGTTTCCTCAAGGTTTCCCATAGCTTGACGGCGACCAGGTGCAAGGAATATTCAGGCTTGTCGACATAAATCTTAGCATACATCACCTAATGACATCTTGGGTGCCCACCCCACCTTCCCACCATCTTGGGCTTCGCTTCCAACTTCAACTTCCAACCGATGTGGACAACTGGGAGTGTAGATGGCAAAACAAATCAACAACCTACCGAACGCGCTTCCTGTCTGGGTGTCCAATGGTGACCCTTTTCAGCAGTGCGGGGTTGTCCATTCGTAACCCCTTGGAAGCAGCTGCTATACCCCCCCTCTCTTTTCTTGGTGTCCTGGCTGGGTAGTCTCCCACTACTTAGGAATCGGTGCAAGAAGCATTTTTGGAGGCCGCACACTCAGAGCTCTTGCCGTGAACCCCGCCGTTCGCCCACGCCCTGTGGTGAGCCCTGCACCTGTAGCTCTCTCCAGTGTCTTGCCAAAAGTCATAAGCGGTCAGAAGGGCTGCAGGGATCAAGCCGCGCAACAAATACGCCGGAATGTATTCCTGACGCCGATGCGGGGTGGACAGGGGGCTCAGTCACCAAACCAGCACACCTCGAGGTGTCGCTGCGAACGGGGGGGGGTGGATTTCAACGGCCACCCTCCAGTCCACAGAGTTGCCCAAGCAACGTTATACAGACCCCCTCAATAGATCGAGTAAACGTAGAACATGTATTGGAAACCGTGCCACTATCCATCTGGGGACCACTATAGTATATCATCATTCATTCCGTCCACCAAAACCATGTTCTATCTGTGTCCATGCCCTGCGGTCATCGATGACGCGACCGCCAGTGACCTGGTGACCGGGTCGGCCATGCCAGATCATCACTTTGAAGCCCACATGTGTTCACATTTCGTTGTGAGGAATCAAGAACCAAGTCTATGACATCAATAAGCATCTTCATGCATCTTCTGCATCCTTCCACTCCACGTGTCTCTTGTGTGGATTGCATGAGCACGACAATTCCGGAGCCAAGCCGATCATCTGCCCTCCGGAATCGGAGGTACTGGGACCAGTAACCTGGCCCACTTAGTTGCCCTGTGCGACCGATCAGTTTTTTCTGACCTGGCAATTCTCATCCCATCTGCGTGGGTGTGCTGCTGGTTTACTAAATAATATGATATAGTTATATACACCCCCGATCAGCACAAGACAGCGTCCCTGTTTCATTCACTGCCACGCCAGACGCCAAACAGCCGCCCCATCTCCCGGTCAAACCGGTCCTCCATCTCTTTGCATTCGGGTCGATCCCAAGCGCCCTTCTTGACTGGTGGCTGTCGAGCCTTGGCTCGTGTGGGCGACAGTTTTGGCTCGCTGCTTTTGACGACGGAGAAGAATGGGCCGCACATGGTGAAGGATGAGACTCTAATTCATATATATATATATAGCTATTTGCTACTAGTAGTAATGGCCTCCAATCCACTAGCGATGGCCTCCAACATCCTCCAACCTAGTATGCACATGTTGGGCAAAATCCCCCACGGATCGGAAGGTGACTTGTTGCGAGACGAGGACTAGTCATTGACCTTCTGCCAGGTGTGAGGAAGCCAGGCCCCTCGGCCTTGCCGACGGCCAAGGCCAAGAGAGGTCTCTGTCCAGAGGCAGGTCTCTGCCACGGCTAATACTCTGCCACAGCGAAGCATGGAAGCACACGTTGGGTGGAAGATCATGTTCTCCCTGTCTGGCCCTGTCCATAGGTTTTGTTGGACGTGATCCTCTCAGAGAAGTCTATGGTTCTTTGCTATATCCTCCCTCCCTAGAATGGTTTCAAGGTCTTGCGGTGGTCCTCGGCAAGTTTACAACAAAGAAAAGTGAAGTGCACTTGTGTTTAAATGCGAGTACTAGAAAACAGAACAATAAGAAATGATGAGGTTTTTGTGTAGACCGTTTTCATCTTGTAGAACGCTTAAATGAGGCGTACAACAAAATCAATTATACAATGCCTTTTTATTAACTGGAAGCTCATCCACTGGACATGGAGGATGTTTTAGCGATGTTCGGGGCGCTACTACTTCTGAAGCCCGCGACTCGCCTACTTCATGCTATGTCCTTCATTCAGATCTGAAAAAAAAGGAACCCTCCTTTGATGCTGTAGACTTGCAGAATATGAAA